CCCCCCTTGAAAGGGTGGCCAAAAAGGCCAAAAGGTTTGGGAACCTAGGATAAGTTCACAGAACCTACCATGCCCATGAGAAGTGCTTTCCAAAGTCAATAGACTCACACAATATTAATGCATTTACTCTGTACTCATGTAGTGGTTACACATTCAGCATATATGTAATCACTTGTTCTCTCTCACAATGTTAATGCATTTACTCTGTGCACTCATGTAGTGGTTACACATTAAGCATATATGTAATCACTTGTTCTCTCTCACAATGTTAATGCATTTACTCTGTGCACTCATGTAGTGGTTACACATTCAGCATATATGTAATCACTTGGCATATTGTCATGACAATGTCTTTACCACTGAGCTCTCTGGGTTAGAGTTTCATGGAACTGCCTAATAAACATTTTCCGACCATTTTATACATGTTATCCTGTTTCAGTTTTTCAGGGATCTTATAATAAAAATGATGTAATTGCTGCCAAGTTAACTCTTAGAAGTGGAGGTACTTACACATCAGCAAACCCCACTGTGACTTACATTTACTGAACATCTATATAGGTGGCAAGTGCCGCTGAGACATTATCTTTTAAATAGAAATATTTAATTCCACACTGGGACAAAATCCATAGTTCAAGTTTCCATGTTACAGATACTAGGTTAGAACCCTAAATCTCCCTTTACTTGGTTGATTTGGATGAGAAACAGATAACATAAAATCATAATGTAAAAAAGAAATCCTAACGTTAAAAAAGAAGAGAAAGTTACGTTATTTGCTACCTCCTATCCTCTTGAACCATAGGGCGTGCTGTTGGGTTAGGTTTGGGATTGCAACCACGAGGTCAGCAGTTCAAACCCACCTGGGAGATAGTGGAGGCTGTCACCTCCTGTGAAGAATGACAAAGCCTGAGAACTATAGGTGGCTGTGAGTCCGAATCGGCTCAAGGGTCGTGGACCTTTGTCCTTGCGGACAGGGTCTACTATGAACTCATAGTAAGCAATGCTGAAACCTGAATCAACTGGCACAAGAGCAAGGGTGGAATGGGAAAACACTGGTAATCCCAGATTTCCTGCCTCCCAGCTCATGACTATTGGATAAGCGTGAGACTGAGGAAGGTTGAAATAACCCCCTACTAGCTCTCCCTGGCGGCAGAGCGACGGACAGTTACTTCCATAAAGATTTCCAGCCTGGGAAACCCTCGGGATGGTTCTCTTCCTTCCTACAGGACTGCAGTTGGAATCGACTTGATGGCAGTGGGGTGGCTTTGTTGTTGGTGCTTGTTTTCTTAGTTCCCCTAGATCTCAGTTCTTCTTTATTTGATTTGGATAATGTCTTGGGAGCTCTCAATACCCTGTGGTCTCCCTTCCTCCTGCCCAGCAATGGGAGAGGCTCTCCCACCGTTATCTGGGCTTGCGAGCGGGGCACAGAGTCCAGCTAGAGGATACCACA